TGGGCAATGGGTTCAGCTCTGGATGGTTTGGACTTGCAAACGGTACTAGACAGGGCTGTCCTTTGTCTCCACTACTATATGTAATTACACTAGAACCAATGGCAACTGCCATTAGAGAAAATAGTAGAATTAAGGGTTTAACTATTTCTCAGATACATTCTAAGATCAATTTATACACCAATGACTACATTTTAACATTGCAGGATCCAATAGAGTGTATGAATGACCTTACATCTATTATTCAAGAATTCTCAAAAGTATCTGGTTATAAATTAGATCTTGATACGTTCTTGGTCCTGTCTTGCAATATATCACCAAGAGACAAAAAATATCTTGATGATTGTTATGATTTCAAATGGGCTCCAAACTCAAAAAAACTATCTAGGAATTCAAATTAATATAGACGTTTCAAAAACCATTTAATTAGGTGTCTCACCTGTACTAAAACAAACTATTAGGCCGTTGAATTAATTGAAGAAAATAGAGTTTTCTGGTGGGAGAGAGTAAACGTTCTAAGAGCATATGTGCTCCACAGATTGATTTACCTAGAAATGATACAGGCAGGATTTAGGACATTTGTTTGGCTAGGAAAACCTTAAAAAATCAATTTGAGAACTCCTATGTTAAAAACATCACAGGTGGGTATAGATATGCAGAATATCAAGCATTATTATACGGCAATTAGGTTGGCACACATGATTTAGACACATGTAGACTGGGCAGTTAATGAAAAATAGTATAACATTGAACAATATCTCAAGTTGTTAATCTGGGAAACATCAAGCCATGCGGAAATAGAATAGAATATAGAACATAAAGTAAAATAAGGGGTTAACAAACTTTATCAAAAGATATTTGTGATATAAAGAAAAAGTGGGTAAAGATTTTTAAAAATGGATCTGATTAATAGAGTAATATGTAATACTACAACAGATGTTCTGAAAAACAATATAAGAAATATAGATCTGGAGTGTTGGCAAAAAAAATAGGCATATGTAGAATAGAAGGTCTTGTTTTTACTAGTAAATTAAAAACCTTTTGCCCAATTACAGCAAGAATGTAGTCTTTTAAATAAGCAAGTTTTTAACTTCCTAATAGTAGAGGAATATCTCAATAAACATCTTTATGTAACAGAGTCAGGTCCATTTGTTAGATAATAGTAGTATTAGTCAGAAAGAGAGATAATAGGAAAATGGTTGCTCATTGCAGAAATTTTATTTAAAAAATAAAATAAAATGTAAAAAAATGTAAAATAATTACAATAGACAGAGAAGACTGTTTTTCTGCATTGTCTTAATAAATACAATTAATTGAACAACAGTATAAGATAATGAATAGATGGTACAGAGTACCCTCAGTAGTTGCTACAAAGCTGTTCTGATTTGTGCTGGAGGTGTGAAGTGGAAAAGGGGGATTTTATTCATGTGTGGTTGACGTGTCCAACTTTGCAATTATTATGGAAAATGGTCGACAGGAAAATAATACAATATTGTGATATAAATCTTACTTCATAGGCGTGTGCACGGGTGTGCCGGGTGTGCCTGGGCACACCCTAATCCTTGCGCGCCGCGCATGGATCAAGGCCGGCAGGGAAGATCAAAATATCTCCCCTGCCGGCTCAAGCACAACAGATTAGCCCGGAGAGAGGCTCTGAAGTGCTCCATTCCGTTTTGTTACGGAGCAAAGGGCCTCCAGGCTGCACGCAGGGACAGGAAGGCATAGCCACATCACTAGCCCACTGGATCACCAGGGATGATCAGCAGCGTGCTCCCTCTTCCCCCTG